GTTAATAATCTGTTATAATCTGTTAAGCTGTTCAAAGTATGTTTTTACTAAAAATCAAGGAATTTTACATGTCAGAAGAGGGTTTTTTTAAAAAGAAAATTTTTTTTTCTAATCTTTAGTGAATAAAACACCAATACCGCCTGTTAACACTTTACCTTGCCTATTTTCTATGTTTATTCAAGAATACAAGTTGAGCCCATGTGAAACTAAAAGTGATCAAACTTGGAGGTGAGCCAGGAAGCAAAGTAGTTGGGTGTGTAAATATATTTTCTGAGTATATTACTGATTTATCTTTATTAATTAATTCTTTAAATGAGTACTCTGTTTGTGAAAAACATTACAACCAAATTATTATGACTAACAATATTCTTGAGAAATTAAAAGCAGAATATACTTCTACTCCCAGCTCTTCAGAAGAAAACCAGCAAAAAAAAACTTGACTATTGATAATGATGCTCAAGGACAAGCCAAAGATTACACAAATCCTTTCTTAGAATTAGAAGAAGGAAAAAAAAAATTTAATTGATTTTGAATACCAAAAAGTTCAATATTCTGAAATTATTATTGAAAACAAGCAAAGAATAATTGAATTGGAGTTGCTGAATGAATTATTATTGTCAGAAAATAATAAATTAAAAGAGAAATTGAATTCAAGATTCATTGATCAAAGATCAAGAATTGAATCTATAGTTGAAATTGCCCAACAAGAACATAAAAATTTATATGAAGATATCATTAATTTAATTGATGATCAAAAAAGATTTACTTTGGATAGTCTCTTAACATATTCACCTTCAGAGTGGCTTGCTAAACGCAATCCAGTTATTGTTAAATTTATAGAAGCTCTTATTTACAATGAAAACAAAGATCAACATAAAGGTGAAAAACTTTTCAAATGTGCAATGGTAGTAGATGCTATCTATGGTGCAAGGAATTTAAAATATGTTTCTGCAATAAATTTAGCTGCCTCAGCAATCAAATATTCTTTGGCAAAATCTAAAACAGTTATTGATATTGATAAACATACTTTGAGTTCTGGCAGCTTTTCAAAATTTCTCAAATGGCAAGAAAGCTTGGCTGAAAAATCAAACCCTTTCCCCAAAGGTTTAACATTTATGGCATTTGATAATGAACAAAAAGGACAAAAAAATTACTTAGGTCATGGTTATAATACTGTTACTTTTCATACTGTTATATAAATAATTTTGGCTCCGTAAATAATTTTGGCTGCCATAAATAATTTCGGCTACTATAAATAATTTTGGTTATCATAAATAATTTTGGCTACCATTAATAATTTTGGCTAATGTAATTCCGTAATAGTAATTGGCTGCCATAAATAATTTTGGCTACTCTCTCTATATACTACATAATACCAATTAATATATGACACAAATTTAACCAAACAAAAATTAAGGTTTATTTTAATTATTTTTTTTTTCTAATATATCAACAAAAAAAAATATTTAATTTTTAATGATTAATGATGGCAGAGAATTTTTTGATCAATAATTAGTAATAGTGGTAGTAAATATATAATAATAATAATAATAAATAAATAATAGGATTTGTTTTATTTTTTTAAAAAAATCCACATTTATTATTAGTGATAGTAATAATAATTTACACCAAATTTCCCATTATATTTGAAGTTTTCTAATAATTAGAATTGAAGAATTTGAATTAGGAAAAATTCACAATTAAAAATAGGAGCAAAATTCAATATTTTCAATAAATTTTTTTACAACTTGTTACTCAAATGACTGAACAAGAGTTGAACAATTGCTTTTCATCACCTGATAATAATAACAGTAACAATAATACTGAAATTGATTGTGAAATAATTCAAATTAATGAAAATAATTGTACTCAAGCTGAATCCAACAAAACTGAGAAACGTGTACATGGAAGGCCAAAAAGTATAGTATGGGAACATTTTTATGAGAATGGACCCAAAATTCATGAACATATTGGTAGTATATGCAAGTATATTGTGAAGGCATGAAAGGATCTGGAAAACCATCAGCTATGATGGCCCATCTTGCATTACAATGTATTCAGGTTCCAACTTTAGTACGACAAAAATTTTTACAAATAATTGCAAGTTCAAATGATGAAGTTAATGAACAAAGTAAAACTAAAAAAAATAATTCTTCTAAAAGAGTATTAGGTTTAGAAATTGCTAGTGGTCTACAACCAAGAATAACAGTCAATTTCAAAAATATAACATAAGCCAAGGACAATCAAAGTTGTGTGATAATGCATTAACAAGATTTTTTGTAT